CTCCCGCCGCCATGGTCGCCGCTCCCCGGCGGGGCGGCCTCGTCCTCGACGGCCGCCGCCGCCGGTTTCCCCGCTGGCGGCCGCCTAAGTGCTTCTCCGGCGCCGGAGCGCCCGGTGGGCTGCCCACGCCCCGAGGCCGCGGGCCGGCCGAGCAGGGTTGGGCTGTTCTGTGGCCACGTCGCGGGCGGGTCCGGCTGTCCCTGCCGCGGCGCTGTCCCTCCCGGGCTCCCCCCACGATGGCGCTGTGCGGAGTGACTGGCCCCCGCCAGCGCGGGGGTCTGGCCCTGCAGCCGCCGCCGGCAGGGCCCAGGTGGAGCGGCAGGGACCGGCTCCGGGATTGTGTACGTTGGGAGGCGGGGCGGGGAATGAGGGGAGGGTGCCGGGCCACCGCGGGAGAGCGGATCTCGGGGCTCGGTGGACGGCGCTTCGGGCGGGGCGCGCAGGGGCTGAAGGCTTCCGGAGGGGGCGGGTGAGGGGCGGTGCTGGGAGCGGGTGGGGAGCCCCGGCGGAATGGGGTGGGTGGGTTCTGGCGCAGCGGTGTGTTGGAGAATCCGAGCTCACTACGTTCCGACCGCCTGGGGAGTGTGCGGAGGATCGCGGGTGGGAGGCCGCTTGAGCAGAGGTGCTTCTGGCGCTGGGAGCTGAGCTTCCCTCTCGAAGTGTCGACGTTCTCCCTAAACGTTCCTGACGCTTTTCCAGAAGTCTGGTTGCAAAGCGAGAGTGGAGTTGTTTTTTCTTGGAATTTCCAAAGCAAATAATTTCCGGGAGAGGAACTCTTTTTATGTGGTATAATACAGCAAAAAGAGATGGAATCTGCCTTCACAATACTGGCGAGATCAGTAGCAGTAAATTTCATGTCCCTTTAGGTTTTCTGTGGACCCGCAAAGTTTCAAGTGTAGTTCATTCCTTGTTTGCCTTGTTTGTTTTGATGTTTTGGGTTTGGTGGTGGTGTGTTTTGTTCTCTACAAAGATGTCAGGCATATACAGCTTTTTTTGAGCAGGCTGAAAGGCTTTTAGGAAAACTATTTTGAGCTTCTTCAGTGTTTAGTGCAAGATATTTGAGAATCTGTCATGATTTTCTACTCATTTGAAGTTAATAAGGACTTCTATTTGTTATTTTTTTTTTTTAAAGAAGCATAACTTTATATGTAGCATCATCATATGCGTTACCTGAATTGCAAAGTTGGTAGTAGGTCTGTGTTATGTGAACAGAAGGTATTCTGATAAAAACATGGTATTATAGCAATGAAATTGTTTGTACAGAGTACAAAGGGCACAGGTTGCATGGGGTGAGACCAAAGGTCCATGTAACTTGGGATGTCACCTGTGATGGCGGCCAACAGTAAATGACTAAAAAACACAGGGCAATCATACAGTGATACTACTCCCTGTGTGCTCTTAGTTGTCAGCTAGTTGTGGTTCAGGGTCACAAGGCATGTCTTTGTTTAATGAAAAGCTTTTTCTGTAAACTTTCATGCTTATTTGTTTTGGATTTTTTGAACGCTGCATGTGTTTTTTTTCTTTGTTAGCATCCACAGGGCTCTGTAGCAGTGAATTCTATGGCTGAATGCTGTGTGAATAAGGACCTTTGTTTTGAACTGACTGGATGATAGTTCATTCACTCTTGTTATTTGGGTAAATGCAGTAATAGTCATTCTCTATTCACTTTTCCATGCCACTCATGATTTGGTGGTCTATTATGGTCCCCATTCACTCCCCCTTTGGCTGCCTCTCTTCAGGATGAAGAATTCCACCCCAGGTGTAGCTGGATATGTTAGCTAAATTACACACATGAAAATGTAATTGTGGGTGGGAGTTATCACTGGTGGGAATTTTCTTGTAGAATCCTGGGTTTGGCCTGGTGCTTTTTCATGGTCCTTAATAATACTGATCTACCAAAGGACTCAGGAGAGGCATGTAAAGAACACGTAACATTCAGTTCATGGCAAATACTGGTAGAGCAGTGATGAATTAAATCATATGTGTGTATGTAGATGACTTAAAAAGCTGAATGTAAATAATCTAGTAAAAAGTAAAATTGATCCATTACACATAAACTAAGGCTGATCATATTTGTAAGTGATAGCACTATAGCCCAAGAGTTTACCACCTCTTGAAAATGAGGTTAGTGTGCCTTGGTTAAGTAGTTGAATATGCACTTCCAGTGCTTTGATATTGCTAAAGGATTGTATTAATGGGTGATGATCAGATGTGGGTGGGGGAGTGACTTGATTCTTACATGTTATGCAGCTCTGGTATAATGTTCTTGGTTATGAATGAACAGCTTAAAGGATCTTGAAATGTTGGAGCGATTTCATTATGCTGGCCAAGTCTCTGGACAGCACAGTTCCTGCAGCAATGCCTGTAAGCAAGGTGCAAGAATTAACCTTTATGATTAAAAATCTATTTTATGGCACATGTGCAGGAAAATCTTCACTCTTGGGCTATCTGACTTGGATCTAGAGGCCTGTCCATTTTTGAGCTTAAGAAAGAAAAAGGAGGGAAACTGTTTTATTAAGAGACTTGAGCAGGTTGAGTCTCTAGACTTCAGTGCAGAGTGTCTTGAGAGGTTCTTAATAGCATACCTACATAGGGAAAGGAAATCAAATGCCAAAGGGAGTCAGAGTATAATAAACACAAAATTACATGAGGGGGTTGAAGTTGAAAAATAAGAGGCACAATTTAAAAAAAAAAAAGTTTGTGGTGACTAGTGCTATGTGGCATGGTGGATCTTTTTTGTCTGAAACCTGAAGTTCCAGACTGGGTGGATCTTGTGTATGCTTTAGTAGCTCTTAATGCTTGGTTGGTAACTGTTTCTTCTGTGGCCCCCATTATGCAGGAGGCCACATTTCTGAAAGGACCATGGTGTTCACTTGTAAGTCTTCAGATTAGTAAATGTGATGGTAGCAAATGTAGGAAGCTGTGAACAGGTTTGCCTGAATGTTTGTTCTGTGTTCTTCACATGTCTCTCTGGGGTCCTTTGGTCAAGCTCTAGTACTTCTCAAGATGGCCACTAGACCTGTGTTTCTGTATCATAAATAATCTGTGGTCTTTGTTTTGAAAGAAATAGGTGTAATACCTCTGGGGTTTCCACTGGCTAATTGTGTTCAGTAGCGTTTTGTTGTTCGCAGCTGTAGTTGCTTTGTGTCACGTTATCATCTCACTCAGCAGAGCTTCATTCCAGTTCTTGTTGGAAGTGTCTTCTGAGATGCTGCTCTCTGAATTTGAGCCAATGCAGTGATGGCCTCTTAAGCAAAAGCCTTTGGAATATAAAGTCCAAGAATGTTTTCCATCTCAGGTGGATTTTGCTTCTTCTTTCAGGTGTCCTGAAAAATGGCTGATGATATTGATATTGAAGCAATGCTTGAAGCTCCTTACAAGAAGGTGAGAAAAATGTGCCAGTGAGGTCCTGTTTACCTTAATTTAGCATTATTCATGAAACTACTGCTGAACTGTAAACTAACATCCCTGGAGCCCTCATGATTTATCTTATTGGAGATGCATTACATGTAACTTACAAGTAAATATATACTGTTAATGTAATTATATTGTGCAGTAGTTTCACTTCAGCGTGATGAATAAATGCCCATCTATCTCTCTTTGTAGACTTGCCTAACGATATCTCACCTCTACTCCCATGAATTCACCTTTGATTCCAGTGTGAACTGTCAATCATAAGGTAGTAATTGAGTGACGTATCGCTGTACCGTGGTCCCCTAGGTTTAAAAAAAAAAACAAACCAAAACCAAAACCAACCAAGCAAAAAAACCCAAAACAAACAAACAAAAAACAAAACCAAGAAACCAAAAACCTCTCCTAAAATTACCAGGTCCAGTTTGGTATAGCAACAAGGTGAATGCAGTGGTTTGGGAAAACAGCAGGGTTCCAAGAATAACCTTTTCACCAGTCCCATGGCAAGTAAATATTTGAACAGTCTGCTCAGTGCAAGAAGAGAGACTTGCTTTTAATGCAGAAGACTGGTGGTGGTTAATCTTTTAACAGGGCAGATGGAAATCTATTGCTGAGTGAACGAATTTACGGAAATTCTTGGATCCCTGAATAGAATGTTCTTAGCAAGTAAAAGACAGTATCACAGTCTGCAGTGCCGTTCTAAAAGAAGCTCTTGTATTCGTCTGTCCTAGTTGTTTAATTAGGAAATGTCAATTTTTATGCAAAATTTTTATCAATTAGTGTAGTGATGTCTTTTACTTAAACCAGCAGCAAATGAATACTGTCTTTTTTTGGTTTTCACCAAATGGTGATGAAGTGTTAACTTTATGCATGCTTTAGCACTGGTTTCACAAGAAATGTATATTAAGTTAAAGTTGCTTAGGAATTGTACTTTTGATGTAACTGATGTGATTAAACTGTAAAGCAAGTATATAAATTATATAGCAGCTATTGTTAGTCTATTCTGCAGTGTTTATTACAACCATGTCATGAATTTTGGATGAGCACTTGTAAGTTTTAAGTGGTATATTTAGTTTATGTAATATTTAGCAGTTACATTAAAATCTTGAAGAGACATTTGTAAATTGTTATGTTAAAATTCTTGTGTCCTGGTTTAACATGGATATTTTCCATGTAAACAGGTATGGAAATAGGGAATGTTTAGGCTGGACTGGTGGATTATTGATGACTTTCTTGGGAGTCGACGTTACTAAAGCAGTGTGAATCCCTGTTTGCTTCAGGGCGAGATGTGTGACAGAGGTGACATCAAGCTCTTACAACCCTTCAACGAAAATGAGCGAAGATCTCGGGAATGGCATCGGTCACAGGAAATCGATAGTGGCTGGCTGCTAGCGTAGCCACTGGGGCTTAGGCAGAGATATAGCCTTGGTACTGATCAAAGGGGCACACAAACCTGAAACTTCCACTTACATTTTATAGAAATAACATTTAACCACTTGAGTGCTGAATTCTGCAGGATAACTTGCTCTCTAAACCATGTAAGGAAGTATCTACAATTTAATATATACTTTTAAATGATCTAAGTCTTGTATTTTATAATTGTATGACTTAAATTTAAACAGCAAAGTGGTTAAACATGCTACCTAAATTTTCTAAAGCTTTCCACATTAAACTGTAAACAAGTAATTTAGTATTAAAATTTTTGTTTTGTATTTTCTTATTCCTATTCCCATTACCCTTTGACCACTTGAAATGTTTCCGCTTCGTCCTCACGATGTTCTTCTATCAACCCTGCTTAGGATGAGAACAAATTGAGCAGTGCCAATGGCCATGAAGAACGCAGCAAGAAGTAAGTATTTTCTCAATTCTGTACATTTGGGGGGGAGGCTGCTGATTTTTGTAAACTTGTGAATGCATGTGAGTAGTGTTTAGGGAAATAAAATGGAAAAGCTTGATATTTGCAATTGCTGCAACTACAGCAATTATGAAATTTTCTTTAGTTTACAAATGTAGTTATGCCCTTGTTGCTGATGTCATCAAAGTTGTAGGAACATTTAATGTTAGCATTGAATAAAAATACAGACTTAGTAGGTTCAGTATAGTTAATTTCTTTTTTGTTGTTTCAGCAATGCAATGGATTTTGCATTTTAAAAATGCATTTGGTGTAGAATTTTATGTGATTTGGAACAGTTCAAAGCATTTAAAGATACCAGGGCTTTTTTGAAAAGGTTTAGGGTGCTTCTACCCTCTGCGCTGCTTTGAAAATTTCTAAATTTTTTGTTTCTAATCTAAACTTTATACAATTATACTATAACCTTTTTAAAGAACTAAAGTAGGAGCCCGCCTTCTTCAGGAAGCATAATTCCAGGGAATAATAATAATTCCAAGAATAATTATGGATTTGATAGTTGAGTAAACAGTAACCAGTGTGTTTTTGTAATATACAGCTAACTTAAGAAGTCAGCATGTATGCTGTTGTCATCTTCTGAAATCATACAGATGAAATGCTGAAGACATCCAAAGAATGTTTCTTTCCAGGTGTATAAATATTTGGGAAATGAGAAGTCCAGTTCCAGCATCAGACTTATATTGGAATCTAATAATCTAAAATTGATTACACCTTATATCTGCGTTCTAGACAATACTGTAAACATCGTTCTCATGCTAAATACTGAGACTTATAAAACCCCATCAAAAGCAGCTGCTCCCAATATTTTTTAAGTTCTGAATTTTTATTGCTTTAAAATATATATACATGGCGTGTAAAACCCTGCTTTTGTTTGGATGGCTAGTCTCAAAGTATAAACTGGGATCTGAAAGAGAAGTGGTGCTATTTACATTTTAGAATTGGTTCTGAACTTGGTTCATGGTAGAATGATGAGAATACTAGAATGTATTTCAGTTCATGTCCTTAGTTGCTGTAATGTCTTTAAGACTAAAGCAATAACATCTGTTATATTTCTGTCCATGGTCCCATTTTCAGGTTGGACCTGTATGCTCTGAGTTTGTATTTCTAATTCAGAAGAACAGTAAACTAAGTTTAGAAGAAAAAAAAAATGTATTATTGTAAAATAGAAGAAAGTCAAGGTGTTTGGCTGCTGTTGTTTTTGCAGTGTTGTTTGTTGTGTGGAGTTTCACGTCTTTTTCTGCATTCCTAATTGTACCCTCATCCCTGTTCAGAAATGTTGCTCCTGTGGTGTCTCCCCATTTCAGTTTTCGAGTTAGCAATTGCTAGAAGGTTAGTTATTCTTGTACTGCAGTTCTCTGATAGTATGTAGTTTTTGTCGCAGAATTTTGATTCCATACAGCTGTTGTTCACCTGTTTTGTATGTGATTTGTGACAGTGTACTTTGTTGCTGAAGACTGAGGCGTATATAGGCAAACATCAACAACTAAAAAATACTAGATTCTGTGTGCAGCTGGTTTAGAAATGGGAAGGATTAAGAATCTGCAGTTTTACTAGATGTCTGTACTGTATGTCCAGTTTAATCATGATTGGAAGGTGGAACGCAGATCTTGACTATGAGGAGTCTTTGCATACAAAGATGGTTCAGCTCACAGTTGGATAGTGAATAGTTGCTATTTTTATTGAAGACTAGCTGCAGTTATTAGTTACTGGTACCGGCCAGTATATTGAGCTACAGGTAGTATTTTTCAGAGCTATTGCGATAGTGAATGTTTGAGGGTTTTAACTTAGGGAAATATTGGTAAGTGATGGATCCTAAGTGGGAGAGACTATGTGTACCCAACTGTCACAGACTGCATTACAGTAGGATGTTAAGTGATGTTGGTGCAGATCATTCTGGATGGTGTCATCTTATCAGAGATTGTGAAGCTTCTGAAAATCAGGTTTTGACACAGCAGCTTCTCTGTCCATACAAAAATATTAGAGAAACTGATGGAGTATTGTAGATAAATAATAAAGTAAAAATGGAATATTCTAGTTTTAGAACCAAATCACAAAATGTTTCTCTTGAGATAAATACTAAGATAGTTTTAGTAGGTTGTCCTAGGTGGAGATTGGAGAGCAAAAGCTGCTAGTGATGATTAGACTCAGATGTGGTAGCTGAGAGATTTTTTACTTTAGTAATTGAAACTAACTAGAAGTCCTTGTTTACACATGGCTGTAGAAAGTAGCAGGGATGAACTTTTTTAAAAAGGGGTGGTGGCATACAAAGTTTTTAAATGTATGAGTGACCATTTTGAAAAAAGATGGTGTATGTAATCAGAAGACCCAAAAGGAGGAGAGGAAAAATTCAATAGCGAAGGATGTTTTGAATTTTGAAAGTTTAGCAGCAAAGTTGGTTATTTGCAAAATTTAGTTTGAGGTAAATTACTGACTGAAGTAATTGCTTGAGCATCTGCTTAACGTGTTGTATACATACGTATATTTTAAAAAACTAGGAGACTTAAGTTTTTATGGTCCAAGACTGAGATAGAGGGGAAAAAAATATGCAAATAACCCAAAAGTAGCCTGCCAAGAATGGAACAGTGGCTCACCGGTTTTCAAATATGAGGTATAATTGACTTACAGATTTTAAAAGTTTACATTTTCTAAGTAAATGGTTAAAATTATGAAGATCTGCAGTGTTCCCCAAACCTGTAAGATCTGCAGACTTAAAGCAAGTGACTTATGAGTGGGAGTAGCAAGTAGGAAGCAAAACTCTTAGGCACTGTATTATGACTGATGGCAGGGAGTATCAAGAGAAAACTGCCTTCCTTTCCCTCAAACTTGCCTCTTCCTTTCTATTGTTGTTGTGTTTTGTTTTACTTTGCTGTAAAAATAAAATTTATTTTTGGCATCTTGATAGTGTATTTAAAGTATGTTTGAAAGAGACATGAAGTACTGCATTTAGTATATACTAGATCTAATGCAGGAAATATTTTTTCAGTCCTTTTAGTCTTCCTTGAAGCATTCCTTAGTGATTACAAAATTTAAAATAAAAAAGTGCTTTGGAGCACTTTGTTGCCCATGATAAATTTTAAAAGATTGCTGACATGCTTAACCACCCATTTAACAAAGTAAATATGTATAAATACCAATGTCTGTGACATCAGGTTAGAGGAACTATGGAATGTGAGGTAAATAACACTGAATGTGTGTAACAAAAGCTGTATTTTTCTTTCTCAGGAGAAAAAAGAGCAAGAGCCGAAGTCGAAGCCATGACAGGAAGAGGAGCAGAAGTAAGGAACGCAAACGGAGCCGAGATCGGGAAAGGAAAAAGAGCAGAAGCCGGGAAAGGAAACGGAGCAGAAGCAAAGAACGCAGACGCAGCCGTTCTAGAAGTAGAGACCGCAGATTCAGAGGCCGCTATAGAAGTCCCTAGTAGGTTATGTAGAGTTGCATGTGTGCTGCTTCAGTGTATGATGTGGAAGCTTAAAGTTTCACTCTCTGCTTTCTAAATTGGTCATTAATCATCTCAAAAAAAGGTGAGAGGTTAAGGTTGAAGAGTGTCAATAAATACGGAGTGAAAAAGAGGACAGTAACATATCCAGTTCCTCCTTCTAGTTTTCATTCTTACCTGAGCGCAGAAAAATGCAAAAGCAAGTGAAAGAATGTGTACAACTGACTGGAAAACAAAGTTTATCAGAAAGTTAAAATAACAAGCAAGTTTTCTATGTGTCCCAACTGTCTTCAGTATATGAACTTGATGGTTTAACTGTCAAAAAATGAATAGTGGTCTATGACTTTGGTTACAGGCTCATACAGCCTTTTGCTTCTATTACTAAAGGTTTTTACTTGGTTGCTGCTCTTAAACACTTACAGCATAAACTCTTCCTGTGCTTATGCATCCAAACTGGAAGTGTTTTGTCTTAGTAATGCCCATGCATTGCGTTATTTGCCCTGCTTTTTCTCAAACTTGTTTAGAGGCTGTGGAAGAATTCTTCGGTTCCTCTTGGATCTTTGGCTTGTTAAAACTTCTGCTATAGGTAGTTCCTGACATTGGTAAATCATTTCTCAAAAAGTATCTTTTCATAGATATTTATTCTATGTTTCTGCTGTTTTGTATTCCTGCCCTCCCCTTTGCTCGTCATCACCTCTTTTTGCCTTCAAAGAAGTGGAAAGACAGTGAGAACTGGGCTGTATGCTTGGCTTTCATTGATTACCCGAGGCTGCTGTTTGTACTGCTTTTGTCTGGGTCTCATCTCAACTGTTTGTCAAATCTCAGAATGCAAGATCATGTCAGAAGCAGGCATTTGAAAAGGATGTATTTTTTTAGTGTGACATGTAATGTCATCTGCAGTGGAGAAATCTCTCTCAAGATGTTTGGGAAGACAGTGTTTACGTTCTGATAAATTGCAGGCTTGTACAGTTTTCTGCACATGAATGTTTTTCTAGGTGGCTGGGTCCTAATCCAGGGAATGCATTCCTTCTGGTACTCTTGGAATGCAAACAAAAAATGCCTGAGGTCTCAGGGTCTCATTTTGCACTAAGTCACCTGGATGTTGGCATTTTCGTAGTGAAAACGTACTGCAACTCCTGGCTCTACTAAGATGCAGTGGCATCCTGTGCTTCCATCAGTCCTGTGTACTTGGGGATCATAGAGCACATCAGCCCTGCTTTTACTTTGTCTCAAGTATCAGGCCTGTCAGAGCCTCTGTAAAGCTGCTCTGGGCTTCAGCTCTGAAGATTTCAGCTGTGCGCAGTTGGCATGTTTTCTGCAGCTCTTTGGCACCTGTAACATTACAGTAGCTTGTTGGGTTGTGCCAGTGCCACTGTTGTGGCTGTAGACTGCCTCATAAACAGAGGACCTTGATCAAGATCTTCAGCCTTCCATATGCAGAGCCTGCCAGTCTTCTCACCTCCAGCATGGTGGTGTGTGGAAAGGGTGTCCTTGATCTCATCACTTGGTTGGGAGTTGCTGCATTTTCCTAGCTGCTTCAGAGGGTTTTGTTCTTTGTTTTTCCTGTCATCGCTGGGTGAGGAGGTTCTTTACCTGGAGAAATTTGGGAGTTTCAGTGTTCTGGTCTTCCAAAATAATTTTCTCAAGTAGAGGTTGAAAATATGGCTGTTACTACAATAACCCATGCCTGTTTTAATGCATCCACAATATGTTGTGCTGGTAAGGTAAATGATTGCAAGGGGTCTTTTTGATTGTTCTGATACTCTTCCATAGGTGTTCTGGGCAATTTCTCTGGTATTGAGAGACAGGGAACAAAAAAAGCGAGATAATCTAGTATCCCCTGAGGATACAAGGTTGTGCTTATTGGTTTGGAAGCATTGTGTTCTCTGCTTCAGTTGCTGAATTGTTGCTTTCATTTAACCAAGTAGAAGTTTAGTGTTTAAAATAGTTTAGTGGAAGACTGGTATAGAACAACTATGTACGTCCCAGAGGCATTGGTACTGACTGCTCTGTAGCCAGTAGTTGACTGTCGTTCACTTGCAGGTCATGGATGATGCTGTTGAAGTGATACACATGCTAATGCGATTCCAAAATTCTAGTTTTGGCTCAGAAGTTGTGAAAGAGAAGGACGTCAGAAGATACGAGGGAGAACTCTTCATTTCCTGTTCAGGACTCTTCAATGCAGATACTTGCCTTTAAAAGCTGCATAACAGGTGCTGACTTCCAGAGAAACACAAGTTCTGGAGGTGAAGCCTCCTGCATCACTGGACTCCTTTGGATCAGATATCTTTGGATCTTTCAAAAATGGTGCTTCCATATGGAGAAACTGTCTCTGTAGCAGTGCCATCAGCTTAGTATTTCAAAAGTAACTACCTGAATGGTCGTCTTGGCTGGAGAATTTGAATCTGGAATCTCATCTTGTGGGACTGTTCAGACAGTTCTGAGTTGGTGTTACTGCAGGCAGGGTTGTAGCTGACTGCAATATCTAGTTCGAATGCTTTGTGGCTGTTTTTTTCTTTTCCTTTTTTTTTTAAATTTGTGTCTCTGAAATACTGAGAAGACAGTCTAGTGTAGGTAATTCTGAAGGAAAAGGAGAAGTGTGCCACAGAGAACCTGAGGACTTTGAATTTGTCATACTTAAGCATAAGATAGTAATTAAATGTTTTGATTTTTTTAAAATTGGGTGAGTGGCTTGCATTGCTTGGTGTTCTCAGGGTTTTTTAATGTTACTTGTCTGGCATATCTTGCCCCTTAAGTGTTACAGTTTTTGGGTCTCTTAGGAGAAAGGACTTGACCAAGTATTCTTGCTTAGACATCTGTCTGACAAATCCCAACTACTGCTAATGCACAGTACAAGTCCCTTGGACTGTCCTGTTGCTATTCTGGAACCAAGAATTTGGGCAAAGCTGCTGGGAAAACAGGGTTATTCTGCGAGGACTGAAAGTTAGTTCATCGTGATTCTCCTGGACTTTGTTTGCTAAAGCTTGCCTTGTCTCAGACTCTTTTAGTGGAGTCTTAGATAGGACTAAGCAGGTGAAAGCTAGTATTTTACTGGCTATCTTCTGACCTGACTATTGTTCTTGGGCCATGTGGCATCATGTAGGTTTAGGACAACATGTACCTAGCTGTGCTCTGGCTATATACAGGACTTAGTGCATTTGGTTTATGAAGAAGGTAACCCCTAGACGTAAATTGCGCGTGACTTGGTGCTTCCATACATGATAGCGGGAACTGGGCAACAGTTGCAAAGAGTTCTTAGGCAGTAGAAGGAAAGAAGAAAATCCCTCTGTGATCTACAGCTGTACAAGCAAGTCTCCTTAGAAAAATCCAAAGAAATGCATCACGCAAAATACTGTTGAAAAAGGATCTTAAGAAGGTAACTTTGGCCATCATCTTGACCAGGCAGCTTTCTCCTCAGTCTGTTCCAGTGGTCTGTTATGGCTTTAGTTTGCTGGGGATTTTTAATGTTGCTCCCATGTAGTCATGTAAATAAGATACTACTAATTTTTCAAGAGTGAAAAGGAAAAAGAGATTTTTGGAGTTGTGTGGGGCGCTTTTGTTTTTTCCCCCTTGGAAGTTGTGCATGTATTTGAAAGCCGTTACTGTGTATTTTCTCAGGTTTTTTTCATTAGGTTTAGACAAACACCTAAAACATTTCTTTCACCTTTTCCTTAAAAACTCATGGTCTTGATTATTGACCATAATGTAGTTGGTCTGCATGTTAATATTTTGGAGTCACTGAAGTTGGTTTGTCTTGCTGCATTTGAATTGAAATGGAGAACACAATGTTCTACATCAGGAGGTATGAAGATGCAAGGTAATCCCATCTCTGATAAGAAGCCAGTGTCTGGAATTGGTACCAACATTGCCAAATGCAGCTTTTGGCAGTATGTGTTGTAGACATTGTAGAACCTGAATGGATGCTCTCAGCAGTCATTTGTCTGAACTTGAGTAGGAAGTGGAGTAATTTATCCTAAGCAAAAAAATAAGTCCGTTTTTGATCAATAGTGATCTCATCTCTACATGTGCCTGTTTTTTATGTCTTGTTTTCTCTTAATAAGTAGTTATTTTTTCTTAATAAGTAGTTTCTAAATGATCTTTTTTCTTTATTTTTTTCCAGTGTTATACAGGGCCATATTTCCCTTGCTTTAACCTGGCCAGCACGGTTTTGGATCTTGTCCCACTACTTCCACCTGTGTCATGACATGTTTAAAGCATCCTCCTCCTTGTTGTGGATGCTGAGTTTAACTATAAGCATTACTGCTCCACTGAGTAGCAAGAAGATGTTTATCAGACAAATTGGTTGGCTAAATGGATTTAGTGAAAGAGTACTTAATGTCTTCAGAATGCTGTGTCTTTCAGGGTGTTTTCACATCAATTTATAGCCACAGCAGAAAGAATCAATTCTGTGCAGATGGAAAGACAAACCCCCTAGCATTCAGTCTGTGCAGCAGTGCCTCTGCCGTTCGGTGGATATACAGGAAGAACGCTAACAGGTGTTGTTCTTTGCCTTGTATCTACAAGGAGATCAAGTTCAGGGAGAACATGATAGGATGAATCTTAGTATTCACGTCACAGTCTGTTACCCTGTGCCACGATAAGTAGCAAGAGGACTGTCCTTAACATGGAAGCGATGGGCAGATTGCCATTTCCAGCAGCCTCTGTGAAGCCTGGAGAACTAAAATTAGATTCAGCCAAGAGACTGGATTCCTTCTGTGGTGGCATGTCTATATAAGGTTAACTGCTGGCTTAAATGGTTCTGTGTTTTGATGTCCATTGAGAACTTTACTTAAAGGAAACTGCATTTACATATTCATAGCACTTTAGAGTGCTGAGACAACATTAGTGAATGTGCCCCTTGCAGATGTTTGCAGGGAGCTACTTTGGTTTCCACTTGCACCTTAAACTTCGTGAAACTTTCAGTTTAAAAATGTTAGACTTGAGCAAATAGTCCTGCCAGCACCACTTTGCTCAAAACTCTGAGGCTGAATTCCAGGCCATTAAGGTACTGCTTTGCAGTCATCAGTAGGTAGAATATGCATGTGGACAAAAAACACATCAAGAAGATTACAGCAGTAGCTGTAGCTCAGAATATTTTGCCCATACAAATGTGCCGTGTCTGCTGGCTCATGATTCGGTTCTTCCTTGGAGTCCTGCATATTCTGGGATTCTGCAATGCAGATGAAACTGAGCAGGGAGCATATTCTGTGCCTTATGGTTTGGAGTGCTGCACGTAGCTTTTGCATGCTATGGGTGCTGCTAATGGAAAATGTTTACAAGTTCAGGTGCGAGGGTGGGTGACCACTTGCAATGTAATGTGAGTACAGACAGGGAATCTTGAATTCACGTACTCTGGTGAGTAATGTCTGTCTTTGCTTTTGCCATAGTTCTGGTCCAAAATTCAACAGTGCCATCAGAGGGAAGATTGGTCTGCCTCACAGCATCAAGTTAAGGTTTCTGAGTTTTCTCTACTTCTTATTGCTCACTAATAGGTTTAGTCTAAAATCAGACTGGTATATTTGAAGGCTTTCTTACCATCTTGTTGATCTCTCCTTATAGCAGACGACGCTCCAGAAGCAAAAGTCCCTTCAGAAAAGACAAGAGCCCTGTTAGGTAGGAATTTTTACACGTGTTTGTAGGGTTGTTTGTTTGTTTTTTTTGGTTTGGGTTTTTTTTTTTATCCAATTGAAGTTGGAAAAGTAATGATGAAATAATACATGGCTACTTGCTCTCCAGCTTATACTCACAAGTAATGCTGGAATTCATTTAGAGAGCCCATGAGAGGAGAGCATTAAAAACATGTTGCTTTCTCCCCATGTCATAAACTATCTCTCCCTGCCCCCTCCAACAGTGTACAATTGTAAATAATGTCAGTTTGCAAAACTTGTATTGCTTTGCTTTTTGTGTTTCTGTATTCCCAATCTTTTTCCTGCTAATTGTGATTTAAATTAGCTAGCTTTTCTGCTAAATCTTAATTAATAATCTTAAGTATGGAATGGAACAGTACTGTACAAATACTACTTTTTCCTATTCTGTATGTATTGGTGTTATTTGTAGAGAAGCCAGGTACCTTTGAAATCCAGGAGGTGCTTATCCATTCTTAGGCTTCTCATTTAAGGGAATTGGATTTAGATAGCTGCTAATGAGATTGGTTAAATTTAACTGCATTAATTTAGAGAATAATCTTGCTTTGTTTTTTTCATCATTAGCAAACTCTTACTGAGATAATTTAACTTAAATTTTTCTTGTGTATTCCCAGGGATTTTTAAAAATATTTATAAAAATACAAATACATATTACATGACTGGAAACTCAGTCCAGGATTCAGTGTGCTAATTCTGTCTTGTACTTAAGTACAAGTCAAATTTTTTTAGATTTGAAGCTTTAACACCTTAAAAGTGATGCATCTAATTTCAGCTAGTGATCAGTATTAAAATAAAATTAATCTAGTGCTTCTGGTGTCAAGGATGAGAGTAGTTATTCACTATTCATACTTTTTTATGGGTTAACAAGCTGAAACTATAAAATGAGGCCTGGGAATTCTGTTTGTGTAGATGTCAGTATTGTTTATGCAATGGCTGTAGTGACTCTGAAGTGACTGGGTGGATGTAAGATTTTTAGTTTGCAAAGCTACCAAAAAAGTTCATACTAGTCTGAGGGTTCAGACAGCTAGTTTGTGCTAATTAATCCCATTTTCCTTTGTTTTCCTGTCCTTTCATCTCAACTTTTTGACTGCAGGCTCCCTAGTGGTACTGTTACCTGTTCTGGAGAGTAACAAAATAGCATCTCTCTTTAGTTGGGGCTTCTGTATTTAAAATACAATTTTCCAGTTATATTTAATGCTTACAGTTGAAATGGGATGTTTAGTAATGTTAAAGAAGTAAATTTATTATTATTATATTAATATTGGGTATCTCCTTCAGTTCTTGACCCTGCCTTTTTTAATATAGCAGGTGTTTTTCTGCCCCATCAGACTTTGAAGTACTGATTGTTTAAAGTTTCGTGCATGATCCAGAGATGAGTTATCTTAATTCAGATTATTTTTTAACTGAACTTTCCTCTTTCCAGAGAACCTATTGATAATCTTACCCCTGAAGAGAGGGATGCTCGAACAGTATTCTGCATGCAGCTTGCTGCAAGAATTCGACCGAGAGACCTAGAAGAATTTTTCTCAACAGTAGGGAAGGTAATTAGTAGGGAGGTTAAAATGATTCTGAATACTTCCTCAAGCTGTCCTAGTACAGGATTGGTATTCTGCAGAATTGCAAGCAAGTGGCTTTCTGGAGCTTTCTAAACAGGTGAAAGTGGGGGATGAGTGATGACCAACTAATTCTTAAAGGCTCTGAACATGAAAATGTAATTTATCAGGATTTCATTGTTAGTATGTGATGTGATGCAAAACATGGCAATGCAATTCTGATTTAAACAACTTCATTTTTCAGAAGTTTGTCTTCTGCAGATAGGTCTGCAAGTTACGGTGTGATTTAAAAATTCATTTAACTGAATTTTGAAAAACTTTAATTGTTCCATCAGCTGCAAGGTTCTGGCTTAAAGCATTACAGTGCTGCAAGTATTCTATTGCCCCTGTTCCTGTAGCATACTACATTTGCCTGTGAATGGCAGCTTTTAATGCTAGCTTTCTTCTGGGATACGTTTATTAAGATAGCTTTATGCTACTCTAGATTTGCAGAATAATTGCAAAGCCATTGGCTTGGCAAATGATTGTCTGGTTATTTATACCTTTCTGAGAAATGGACTCCATTGAGGTTTTTTTTTTTCCTTTATCTCTAACAGCATTTCTATACTTGCCTTTCAGGTTCGTGATGTGCGAATGATTTCGGATAGAAATTCCAGGCGTTCAAAAGGAATTGCTTACGTAGAATTTGTTGATGTTAGTTCAGTGCCTCTGGCAATAGGACTAACTGGACAGAGAGTCTTGGGTGTACCAATTATAGTACAAGCATCACAGGTGAGGAGTTGAAAACCTCATTTTTATTCATGTTGAGCAGTGCCTCTTTTATCTTGCTGGAAAACTTGCTGTTTGAATATTTGGTTGCCATTGAATGTTGGGAAAACCTTAACAAGAATGATTATTTAAGCTAATTATACATGGACCTTTTGTTTCCCATAGTTGATAAGCAAATCAAAGCAATTCAAAGAGATATAAATGCATTTTGAAAATACAGTTGTTAAGAAAGTAGTAATAATGAAACTGCAATAGTGTCACAGAATTGTGGCATATATTAGGTATGCTTTCCAGCATATGTAAAATCTGAAGTGTTATTTTACTAGATACATGCCAGAATTCTGCATGAAGTTGTTCAATTTGAGGGCTTTTGAAAGTTGTGTCCCTATACTTGGTCATGGTCTTGGATTTTGTAGATTTTAAGTTAAAGTCTGATGGATAGTGTGCAGATTATAGAACAGCTTGTATCTTTTGGTGAATCTGTTAGTTTTAATCTGGTAGATGTATACTGCTTATGTTAGGATTTTTTATTACATTCTTGGAGAAGGTGAATTTTTCTTTTTTCCTTTTCTTAGGCAGAGAAAAACAGAGCAGCAGCAATGGCAAATAATCTGCAGAAGGGCAGTGCTGGTCCTATGAGGCTCTATGTGGGATCATTACACTTCAACATAACTGAAGATATGCTTCGAGGAATTTTTGAGCCATTTGGCAGGGTAAATTTTAATTTGACATGTTGTGTTAACTGTAGTTTATCTGAAAAACCTAGTTTAGTTGTAGAGCACTCACAGTTCTGGAGGTAATTCAACTTCACACCTGCAAAATGTTTGTTTATTTTTCTTGCTCTTCTGTGCCTGCACATCCACAAGGCTTTAGATACATAGTTAGTATTGGAGAAAAAATGGGAACCTTGATTTGTGATGTGGTCCAGTGATTTTGAATGGCAGGTCTTATGAAGGAAAGCTGAGATTCAGTGAGTACCTAAAATTACAAAGCAAACAAACAAAAAACCAAACAAGAAATACCTACCTTATATCCTGCTCCTGCAGCTTGTAAATATCTTCCCCACCATGTGATTGCGAATGGGGGCCCCTTTCACAGGTTACATCACAAAGTACAGAATCAGGTCTGAGTTCTGTTCACTGTGAATGTAGTACTTTCATCTGTTTCTGAGGATTTTTCCTTAAGTTTTAGCTCATGTTACTACCATGAACTAGTGGTGTGTCCTGTACAGCTCTAACACAGTCACCTTTTCACTCCTGATATTAGGCCCCACTTTCTGGCATGGTAATATGTTTTTGTGGGGCGTTGGGGAAGCAAGCAGATCAAATCTGAAATTTTTTCCAGTGTGTCATGGTTTAACCCCAGCCAGCAACTAAGCACCATGCAGCTGCTCGCTCACTTCCCTCCCACCCAGTGGGATGGGGGAGAGAATTAGGGGGGGAAGTAAAACTTACGGGTTGAGGTAAGAATGGTTTAATAGGATGGAAGGGAAGAAAATAATATTGATATTAGTAACAATAATAAAACGACAATAATAAAAATTAGAACATACAAAACAAGTGATACACAATGCAATTGCTCACCACTTGCTGACTGATGCCCAATTTCTGAGCAGCCATCCACCCTCCCTGACAGGCCAACTCCCCCCAGTTTATATACTTGGCATGATGTCACATGGTGTGGAATACCCCTTTGGCCACTTTGGGTCAGCTGTCCTGGCTGTGTCCTCTCCCAACTCCTTGTGCCCTTCCAGCCTTCTTGCTGGCTGTGCATGAGAAGCTGAAAAATTCTTGACTTTAGTCTAAACACTACTCAGCAACAACTGAAAACACCAGTGTGTTATCAGCATTCTTCTCATACTAAATCCAAAACATAACACTATATCAGCTACTAGAAAGAAAGTTAGCTCTATCCCAGCTGAAACCAGGACACAGTGGAGTCACAATAAATGTTAGCCCTACTGTGCTAACTAAGATATCATGGGTATATCATTATTAGGTAGGGAAAAAATTATATACTTAATATGCTGCTTAATGGAAAAAAATAACCCCCAAATTATCAAGTGCATTGATATTTTTTTATACTGTCTTTGGAAATTAACCCTGCTCGTACATACTGTAAACGGTGCTTTTCAGATGCTTTATTCAGATTCAGTATGTGTATCCCTTTAATTCTGTTGTGCAAAAGCCTGGAAAATTGCAGCAATTTTAAAAATTTTAATCCATGTGGCTGTTCTTGTTTTGTTTTTCTCTTAAGGTCTGGCAGTAGGATTAATGTAGTTTAGAAGGCTTAACATATAGAGCTGTGAAGGTTTTTTCCTTCTCCTCATTCCATATAGTCCAGTCTTAAACTCAGTTCTTCCTTCTCTGTTGCTGTTTCTTCCCAACACTATTTTAAGGCTCATGGATGACTTACTAATATGTTTTAAATTCAGTAACTGTAAACTTCTAGGAGTTCCCATATGCCAATGATTATTTAAGATACGCACCTTTTTCTTAAAGCCCCTGGTCAAAGTCATGCAAACTGCTTTTCTTGCCTTGTAAAATGGAGTTTCTCAGCGTATGAGATGCCTTGACTATAATGTTCCAGTTAGTATTTGATGATGTCTGCACACTCATTGTCTGCTAGAATGTTGCATCAGGACCAAGCCTCTGCCTGTAGCTGGACTTAAAGCACATCACCCGTATGTTTACCTGCTTCTGTTTTAGTATCAAAGTATCTATCTAGCTGCCTGTACACTAATTTTGACTTGAGGAAGGAATGAGGAACTGATTAAAAAAAATATATAGTGGTTTCACATTTTTATATATATATATATATTTGGCAGGGTTGCATTCAGGTTTTGTTATGATATCTTGTGGTTTATTGCAAAATGTCTGATAATAAATAGCTTTGTTCTATTTTTAGATTGAAAGCATTCAGCTGATGATGGATAGTGAAACTGGACGCTCAAAAGGATATGGATTTATTACGGTATGACTAGAACTGCCAGACTTCTTGGACAATTTCTGGGTGTAACCTTCCCATGCAGTAGTATAGCTTACTCAGCAATCTGTTAAGTCTCATCTTAGAAATGTCGTGTTGCAGGACATGCAACAATGGCCTTTTTTCTTTGTTTCTACCAGTTCTCTGTGGGTATTGTGGTTGAACAATGCACATGTTTAGAATGGAATAGTATACTCTGTTTTCTGCAGGCAAAGATAGTAGTAAAGACTGACGTTTTCACAATGCTGTGAAAACGATTGGATTTGAGCTTTTTGGGGGAAATACTGTTTTAGAGGCTAAAACTTTCAGTTGAAAACATCTTTCGTCTTTACCCTTAGACACCTAATTTTGTGAACTTGGGTTTCTTGGCTGACCTGGCAATTTGTCATGGGGAAAAAAAGTCTTGACTGGGACCTCTGGCACTTGGAGACAAATGAAACCAAACTAACTATGTCGCTAGTATTTGATAGTTTTAACACTGACAAAATATTGGTATATTTAATTTGATGTTACGCAGCATGAAGCAGAACATATGTTAGTAAGAGCCAGTAAATGCATGACAGAAGATTACAAAGGAAGTGATTGTCATTCTTGGAAAGTGTTGAAAGAGGACGGCAGCCATGACTTCTATTGATTGCAATATGTAGATGCTCTAGCTTCAACAATATATATTTAAATATATTCTTACTTAAATATGAGAAAGTAAATATCCAAACTTGTGTGTGTTTGGTTTAAATGGAGAATATGTAGCACATTTAAGTTTAGCTGGTAGCCAAGGCCAACTGTATGAGGTTCAACAAGACCAAGTGCTGGGTCCTGCACTTCGGTCACAACAACCCCATGCAGTGCTATAGGCTTGGGGAACAGTGGTTGGAAAGCTGCCTGGCAGAAAAAGACCTGGGCGTGCTGGTTGACAGCTGGCTGAATATGAGCCAGCAGTGTGCCCAGGTGGCCAAGAAGGCCAGTGGCATCCTGGCCTGTATCAGAAATGGTGTGGCCAGCAGGAGCAGTGATGTGATCGTCCCCCTGTACTTCACACTGGTGAGGCCGCCCCTTGACTACTGTGTTCAGTTTTGGGCCCCTCACTACAAGAAAGACATTGAGGTGTTGGAGTGTGTCCAGAGAAGAGCAACCAAGTTGGTGAGTGGCCTGGAGCACAAGTCTTATGAGGAGCAGCTGAGGGAGCTGTGGTTGTTTAGCCTGGAGAAAAGGATGCTGAGGGGAGACCTTATTGCTCTCTACAGCTACTTGAAAGGAGGTTGTAGCAAGGTGGGTACTGGTCTCTTCTATCAAGTAACTAGTGATAGGATGAGAGGAAATGGCCTCAAGTTGCACCAGGGGAGGTTTAGATTGGATATTAGAAAAAATTTCTTTACTGAGAGGGTTGTCAGGCATTGGAACAGGCTGCCCAGGGAAGTGGTGGAGTCACCATCCCTGGAGGTGTTCAAAAAACACGTAGACTTGGCACTTCAGGACATCGTTTAGTGGCTGTGGTGGTGTTGGGTTGGTAGTTGGACTTAATGATCTTAGAGGTCTTTTCCAAACTTAATGATTCTAAATATTCTAAAAATATTATCTTAAATTTACTGCTTCTAATGTTTATGTAACTGGATATTACATACAGTAGAAGTGTTGCTGAATCCTGTAGGCAGCATTACTGAATTTATATTTTTCCAATCTACAGTTCTCAGACTCTGAGTGTGCCAAAAAGGCATTGGAACAACTGAATGGATTTGAGCTGGCTGGTAGGCCAATGAAAGTTGGACATGTAACTGAGCGCACTGATGCTTCCAGTGCTAGTTCGTTTTTGGACAGTGATGAGTTGGAACGGACTGGAATTGACTTGGGAACAACTGGTCGCCTTCAGTTGATGGCAAGACTTGCAGAAGGTACATGTGATGATTAATAGGAATTGTGTGAAAATACAGAAGTTTGCAGAATTTTAATTAATACACCCCACAGAATATTATGCTAAATGCATGGAATGGTACTAAGCTTTTGATAACAGTAAGATTTCTGATACTTCTGTTACTGCTGAGTGAAAAGTGCTTGCTACAACGTATGTTCATATGCTGTTCTAGGTACTGGTTTGCAGATTCCCCCGGCTGCACAGCAGGCTCTGCAGATGAGCGGATCTTTGGCATTTGGAGCTGTGGCAGGTAAGAAACTGACCTATTTATTTTTAAAAAATACTTCATAATTTTGAGACGAGGTACTTAACTACATTTTGTGATCGTTTAAAATTAAAACATGGGTATCATAGCGTGTTTTACAAACTGTAAAACATTGCAAATCCATGAGCAAATAAACAGTGACAGTATATGACAGCTTTGGGCCTGATTCACTTTACATTATTTTTGGCAAATCTGTTATAGTTCACTTAATTCATCCCAAGCCTTCATCTCTGTATCTTTACTATTCTCTGTACTAATGGGGACTCCTGTGTTCTACTGCAGTGTAAATGTTGACTGTTAAAAATGGCAGGCTCATAACTGGAAGGGGATTGACCTTTCTGAAAAAAGAGCTGTACCAGGGTCAAGGTTATTAGGACTTCATGGGGGACTCGGCAACTAAGACTACAGTAGTGTTAGGTTTATACAGTGTATGTCCTGGTGAGGAAGGACACTGTATGTCAGGGAATTTGTGTGTTGCTTGGAATTGGCTATAGTTTGTGTGTTCTGCAAGTGGGTTTGTTGGAAGTGTTACTGAGACTTTATTTTGTTGTGAGAGGGAATGAGGCTGAGAACATGATTGCTGCTACTAGTTCATAGCTGGCCTAAACAAGAAACTGCTGAAGGTGGCTTCATAACTAGAGCAGCGAGTAACCTCCTGCAGGAGATTAGGAATTTACAGAGTGGAATTTCTTCTTCTTGTTATTTTTTATTAATAGAAGAACAAAGGGCATGAAGCTGTCATAGCAGTAGAAAAGACTTGAATGTCACAAATAATGAGATGCTGGAAATCAACAAAGAATAAGTGGCATTTTGTTTGTCTTCCAGCAGAGTTTGAGACAGAAGTGATTCAGAGTTAAGATACACCTGAAATCATGTTACTGAAGTTCAGGTGCGGTTTTGAGAAGAGCATACACATGAAACTGTAGACAGTTGCTGAAAGAACGTAATAGGGTCTTTCTGTAGATACATCCTTGGAAGGAAAAGGAACTGGCTAGTGAAAATGAAATGTGGGTTGAGGAATAAAGTTTTTTCCTATTTGAGAAGAAAAAGATGAATGGGACAGAGGGGCAAGGAAAAAGCATATCTAGTCCAGAAAGAGAAGGAAAGGTAACAACTTTAAAATAAAATCACCTTTAATGTAGGTGATAAAGTGGTGTGACAGTCTTGCTTGGAGACAGCTGTAGTTAATGAGAAATGAGAGAGAGATCTTTAAAAAGCACTAATCCTTTCCCCACCCCTATATTTGAAACAAACAAGCCAAAGGAATCCAAACTCCCCAAATCAGGAACACGGCCAAGAATGTCTGATGCAGCTGAACTGTTACGATAGTGTGAAATCAGTATGAGACAACATGGCTGTGGAGGAATAAATAAGGCTGAATATAGGTTTTTGAAGAATGTGCATGTTTAGTAACTGTAGAAATAAAAGTGGTACGAGTTGCATTGTTTATTCCACTTGTATTGTACAAAAGGAATAATGCAGACATGTGCAGCTTAAGTAACTTTGGAGAAAGATAAAGCATTTTACTACCAGAGTCATGAGCTATCCCCAAAGGGAGATTTGGTTATGGATTAAAGATCTCTTTACTCTTGTTAGAGAAAATTATTACCAGGAATTATGTCATTATGGGAGACTTTAACTTCCCTGATACAGATTGGAGAAGAATTGCTAGTAATAATGGTGGGGCCCAGATATTCCTGGATGTGATATCCGACAAATTTCTTCATCAAACAGTCACTGACTCATGAAGAGGGGATGCTATTTTAAACTCAATTTGGTAAGTAATGAAGATGTTACGGATGAGAATAGAAATGACCATTGACTTGAGGGATCATGAGTTGCTCAAATTTAAATGGAAGGATAAACAAAACAGGTCTGTAACTAAGGCTTCTGATTTCAAAAGTGGTGATTGAAGAAACAAGGCAATAAATTCATGTGGTCTAAGCAGCTTGGGTGTTGGAACAGGCAGAATGTAAAAAGTTTCTTCAGTTCCAAATTGCTAATGCTATATTGGATCTGTATTCCACAGAAAGAAGAAACAGTCCTGTTAGAAACAGGCTCTACACCGAACTGGGTGATTAACTACCTCAAAAGAAATAAGGAATAAGCACACAACCTATGAAGAATAGGAAGAAGGATTGATAATAAAATAATATTCTTAATTTGGGAAATAGATAAAATGAGAATACCTGCCAACAGTCAGATTGAGTTAGACCTTGTAAGTGCCATGAAAGCATAGATGAAGATTTACCAACTCTTGAAGAGAAAAGTAAGCAGGGCTGAGGTTGAAGGAAAAAATACTCCCAAGATGTTTCAAAAGAATCTCATTGCCTTTGTTTTTAGTGGGGACACTGGTCATAAAGTTTGGAATTTGAGGAAGGTAAGCTAGGAATATGAGTTTAAAAAAAAAAAAGCTAAAAGAGCTGAATGTATTCAGTTCAGAGTAGTAAGAAAACTCCCATCAAATTAGTAAGGGAATAGGTACATGAAGTATGAGGTCTGATATCTGTTATTGTCAATAAATATTTTAAATCTGTGATACAATATATAGCTGGAATATCTAACTCTAAATTACCTACACTTGAAGGAAGAACAACATGATCTAGCTGGCTTCCAGTCCTGTTACTCTGACTTCACTTCTTCAAAAGTCATACTAAAGATGGGTAAACTGGAGAATATTGTTAAAGTATAGCATACTTTCAGAGAAGTTGCATTTAAAGACTTAACAATCCATGATAAAACTGACTTTCCTAGACAGAGGAGCAGTAGTAGAACTCTTCTCTCTGAACTTTTGACTTGTGTCATTTGGAAGTTACTGAACTAGAGAAGTGAGTAGTACAGGAAGTACAAGATGTATAAAGAAGCTGGCTCAAAGAAAGAGGGATTTTTTTTTCAGGTAAAAGCTGGGAAGGTTAGAGGCTGTTGTTGAAGCCAAAGTTCAGGTGTTGGGCTGATCTTGTTTAATATTTACATGAATAAAAATGGTCAACAAGAGTAGGAATGAAGTGAGTCAATACAGAGTTGCTGTCAATAAGGAATTCTTGGGCTGTTGTACATTGTTCACCTGTTCAGGATTGAAACAAGTTCTGGTTATATATTCTGGGACCTTAGCAGTGGAAGGTGGCCAAGGAGAAGGAAAATATCTAAATACTCCAGTTTATCAGTGAGTGAATATGAACTGTCAGCATGATGCATTTTTGAAAGGGTAGCTGTGTTCCTAGAGGTAGCATACTTGAGCACCTGAGATATAATACACATTTGTGAACAGTTCTAGGCACCCATGTTCGAGATGGGTTGAATCAAACTAAAGTAGGGAAGCTAAAGAATTAGTTTTACAGGAGACCTGAGAACTTGGGTGTTATTCCTATGGAGAAAGTTCCAGCAGGAAAAATAATTGAAACTAAACAGTTGTAGCTGTGTACTTTCAGTTCTCTAGTAAATTCTATCTGAAAATCTGAAACTTAAAATAACCATGAGGCTATAGAACATTCTTCTAATGATCTGTGGGACCAAACCTTCCTTACTTTTCGGAAGGAACTATCTGTTTATGAAAAAGATTGAGATAGTGTGCTGCAATAGAGGGGCGAATAGGTGGTGTCATCCAGGACCTCTATTTGATCTGCTTTTCTGTTGTAAGTAATTACACAGAAAACTGGGGAATACTTGGCAGGCTTTTGTTTATTTAAAGCTAGCTATGTTTCAGAATAAATATGCAACTTCATTTTGTTTTAAGACACAAAATGCTTTGGTAGATATTTCTGTATTTCTGCTTTCTGTGTACTAAGTGTGTACTTCTTAGTCATGCTAAACTCGCTACTCTTACGCATTATATATGCAGAACATAGTGAAACTTGACAGATGTATTAATTTTAGTTTCCACATACTATTTAAAACTGCATGTAGGGAAGAGTAAGAGTTGACAGTGAAGAGTGACAATGTATTTCTTCAATCACGAGCAACAAGAAAATTCAGTTGATGAAAGATTTGGTGGACAGGAGGTTATGTTTCAGAGGTGGTAGATAACCTATGAAACCTGTTGCCACAAGATAGTGTTAGCTCATCTTCCTGTGTTTAGAACAGATTTGACTCTTGGCCCTAGACAGAATTTGAACTGGTGATCTGTATAGGTTTGCCACATTTGGTGCAGGTGGCCTGGAGCATTTGGTTTGTAGAGCCCCAGGCTGACTGACATTTGGCGAGTTCAGCTGCACATGATGTATATGTGCAATTGTGTCAGAATTGCAGAGGGAGAAGTCTCTGTCCTCACTGAAATAGAGTAATTTAGGAGATTTAGGGGTTTATTTTTTTTTTTTTCCAAAACACATTTGTTTACAAAAAGGTTTGGGTAGTAATTAACTAGGTAATTAGTTACAGACTTGGCCAAATCCATGCAGTTTCTGCAGAGAATACAGGCTAAATTATGGTATTTCCCCATTATGGTATTTCTCAGTCTATGGAGGTGAGGATTTCTTTGTGTTCAGATCCAGGTGGAACACATGCTAAAAATAGCCAATTCTTGTTATAGCTTACCCTTCACACGTTGCTCTTTTCATCTCTTAGTTTTCAATATGGTTCCCAGTCTGTGGTGTTCCATGGAAGTCACTTGGGAAGGCACTTGAGGAAGACTTGTCTTTTGGGGCTCTCACTGCCTAATACTTAGAGCAAAAAAAAAAAAAAAATTACTCCTGTTGGTCCCCTGGTGTTGTGGAGGAGGGTTTCTTAGAAAGGGAAGATGTATGTTGATAACCTCATATTTTCAGGTATTTCCAAGTAAGTGTGGAAGCTTACTTGGAGTCCATCTCTTCACTGCTTTCTCAACAAGTGAATTAAGGTGATGATGGTTAGCTTTAGTCTTCTAACTCCTTGTATTTGTGTGAATTAAATTGGAATATAAGAGGCTTATGCTTTCATTTCTTGCATTCTTAAGTTTTCTGTTGGTTTAAAGATGTCGAGTATTGGAGTCATATACTTGGAAATGGTTAGAAAGTCTGTATTTGTCTGATCCCATTACTTCAAACTGGGACAGCTATATGCTATTAAACAAGTAATTAGTGTTTTCTTGGCACATTAAATGTTCTGAACACTTGAAAATGTTTTGAATTTGAAAAACACTGAAGTAATCTGTGTCATTATGACATTTATATGAAAAGATAACAGGTGAAACATCACCTTATTCTACTTGAAATTAAATTTGATAACTGCTTTCAGAATGTCATATTTGGATAACTGTGTGCTTAAATGCTTTCTGTTAGTAAAGATGTCAAACTTCTAATGCCTGTAAGAATTGCTATAATTATTTTCTCATGGAATAAATAAATAAAATGTTCTCATGGAACAAAGGGTTCAAGCACAGCAAAGGCAAGGTGGAAACAATGCATTGAATTAAAGACATGGTTATGTCTTTCCTTTTAAGGTATTGTTTCTCTTTGAAATATGTTTACCTTTGTGGTCATGGAATCTCTATCAAGTACAGAATATTCTAGCTGAGAAGCTGAAATTAGTGAAATTACTCACAACTAGAGAGTGGGTTAAAGTACTTGAACAAGCTCTTAACCACAGAAATGCAAGTTAAACAGCCTGGCTGGCAAGTAAGGATACAATAATGCTAGCAAGCCTACTAATTAACTTCTGTGTATTTTTCTTTAGATTTGCAAACAAGACTATCTCAGCAGAATGAAGGTAAACTAGCATTTGATATAACTTGTCACCAGTAGGTTTTGTTGCAGATGTCTAAATGAAATGCTTCTGGTGTAGAGTTTGCCAACAGCCTGAGAAAGTGTATTGTATTAGTGTCTGTAGGAATCATACTATGTATTGATTATTGACTGAAAATAACAGAACATAGGTTGAACACTTCATCTTTTCTTTGTAGCATTTCCTCAGTGTTGGTAACATTCCCCCAGCCATATGTTAGTCCTAGAAAATGTGTGGGTTTCTGTCTTTGTTTGTGGGTTTAGGTGTGGTTGGGCGTGGGCTTTTTTCCTGCCTTACAGGTAGGGACTAGAGGGGTCATATGAGAATCAGGAGTTTGGGGTTATTGTCCTTAGATCACTTGTCATCTTCCTCCGTGTCGTGGTTTAATCCCAGCCAGCAACTAAGCACCACGCAGCCGCTCACTCACTCCCCCCCATCCAGTGGGATGGGGGAGAAAATCAGGAAAAGAAGTAAAACTCCCGAGTTGAGATAAGAATGGTTTAATAGAACAGAAAAGAAGAAACTAATAATGATAATGATAACACTAATAAAATGACAACAGTAGTAATAAAAGGATTGAAACGTACAAATGATGCGCAGGGCAATTGCTCACCACCCGCCGACTGACACCCAGCCAGTCCCCGAGCGGTGAATCCCTGCCCCCACCTCCCAGTTCCTAAACTAGATGGGACGTCACATGGTATGGAATACACTGTTGGCCAGTTTGGGTCAGGTGCCCTGGCTGGGCATGAGAAGCTGAAAAATCCTTGACTATAGTCTAAACACCACTGAGCAACAACTGAAAACATCAGTGTTATCAACATTCTTCTCATACTGAACTCAAAACATAGCACTGTACCAGCTACTAGGAAGACAATTAACTCTATCCCAGCTGAAACCAGGACACTCCGACTATGCAGCTCTTAATGTCTGCATATGTAGAGAGAAGGTGGCTGTTATTTCAGATAAATTAACAGAAGCTTGCAGCCTATGGAAAGGGCAGGCTATAGGACAGTGCTTATCTTTAATAAGATGTACTGTGATGATGGGCGCAACAAATGACAAGTAATAATTTCATAGTTACTGAGAAAGAGTATAGATGTTTTCTACGGTTAAAATGTTTTTAATTTTAATTGTCAAATATTTCCTACGTTATGCATTTCCAAGGGACAAAAGTACCGATATACTTCTTTGAAGGATAATTCAATGTGCTTAAAATACATTTTGAGAAATCTCAAAGATGTCTGTCACTTCCTCTGAAGGCAGATGAGGTGGTGCCACTCCATCCTGAGCTGCTGCTTGGCTTCTATAAGGAGAAAAAAATTAAAAGGTGCTGCTGGCATACAACTTGGGCAGAATTTTTGATGCATGTGAAGATGCATGTATCCGCATTTAAATATTTAAATTGAAAATCTGCCAAAATCCATGTGCAGGGTTATCTTTTCACTTTTCAGCTTCAGCTGTAGTTCATCTGTGCTATTTTCTGTATCGATCAATTTAAAATTTCTCTATCATAGATAGTGTCTAGTTATGAGTTTTGCTTTCCTGCCTTCAATTTTTCTGTTTAGTTAGAACTGTTGGTATTATTGCTGAATGTTGGGATTTTAATGAATAGATAGAATTTAAATTGGAGCCATACACAGTGGGTTCTTAGATTTGTTACTGTTTTGTTCCATTACAACAGTTCTGGCTGCAGCTGCTTCTGTACAACCACTTGCAACACAGTGTTTCCAGCTTTCCAACATGTTTAATCCTCAAACGTAAGTGATTTATCGTTGTCTGTTTCTGTTTGGCATTTGTTGATGACTTTAACATCTGAGAAAGGAAACAGAATGCTGCAGAGGGTTTTTTTGATGGGTGTTGGGGTGGATTTTGTCCAAGTGATAACAATTCCATCTGTCCTGTTGTTCTTCCACCCCCTACAGTGAAGAAGAAGCTGGCTGGGATACAGAAATTAAAGATGATGTGATTGAGGAATGTAACAAACATGGAGGAGTTATCCACATCTATGTAGACAAAAACTCAGCTCAGGTATGCCTGGTTCCAAGGAGACACTGAGCAGGTTTTAGGAGTTTTGTTGCTTTGTATTGTATAGAGGGAGTATTACAAATACTATTTTCTTTTTCCTAAACTGAATCTAAATTTCTTGAAGTTACTTTGCAGTTTTTGCAGAATGTAGGTGGTTCCTTCCTGTTTTGAGTCATTGGGTGTAACTTGAATGCAGGTGTGAGAGCAGTTTTGTGGTGCTCCTACAGATTTACATAGCTGAAGTTACTGTGGAAATACAGGCTGGAGAGTAGTGACCTCTTTAATTCTGGCATTTGGCTTTTCCTTTTAGCTGTGCATTTGCCAAAAGCCAGGGACTTCAGTTTCCTTTGTTTTGAGAGAATACAGGCTTTGGCACAAAGGAAAACCTGCTCCAGCAGACTTGAGATGTGCAGTTAAATGTGTGCCTGATCCCATGCTTGGAAACAGTTGTGTTCACTAGTAATGTTAAAGTCTTGCAGTGGGCAGCAGGAGTGCCTAGAGCTGTAACAGGGAGAAGAAAAAGAGCTACTGATGCAGATGTAATTACAGGTTAATGCCTATTTGAGGGACTCAGCCTGCATCTTAAAGAGGCTAATATGTTTTTCTTCTGTGTTCACTTTGTTTACACAATTCCCAGTCTGCTCATCTCTTCCCCTGTATTTCAGCTCTTAGAATGTAAACTGTGGAAGGCCTTTAGAGATTTGGCCTTCTTGAACCCCTTTTATAGCCCAAACTGAAGTACAGTTTTTAAATGGTGTCATAGTCAGATGAATTTCTAACAATCAGAACCCTGGAAGTGTCCTGTTGTGTTCCATTCCATTGTGTGAGGCCGAAATCTACACTACTGTCCCTGTCAGTATTGCTAAGATGGGATTGTTCTGCCCTGGTTATGCACTTGGCACTCACAAACCTTTGTTATCATTGTGCTGCTTCTATACAAGATTCTTGTCACCTGAAACACTTTCACAGGGATTACGTAGATGTTACATTAGAGATGAGCTGCAGTCTAGTACATAAACCAACATACAGTCTTTCCTAGCATTTTCTAATCTTCAAGATGACTGCTATGTTGGACTACTGGTCTGATGGGAGGTAGAAAGCTTTCCCACAGTATATTAGTTTATTACTATCTTAGAGAAAACAAATCCTTCAACAGATAGAGAAAAAAACCCAAACACAACCCCCAAACCCCCCAAATCCAACAGCCCTCAACATAACTCACGTAGGTTCTGAGCACATAGAGCTGAAAATATGGTTCACATTAGCAAGTGGATTTAAAAGAAAAAACTACAGCTACTATATAACGAGTTAGCTGTTTGCTACGTGAAATCCATTTTGTCACAGTAGCACAGTGATGACCCAGATATAAAATACACACTGATATTTAAAAATACAGGCTTAGATTCTGGTCGCATTATTTTCTCAGTGTTTTCATCTCCCATCTTCTTAGGGCTTTTTCCCAGCCAGCCAGACTTCCCAGGCTAAGGGCTGTCAGTAATCAGCCATGGAGATGTGATTTGATGTGGGTGAAAAGATTGCAGTCCCTGCTGAACATGTGGTTTCATGTACCGTGCCAGTCTACGCTGTGGTGTGTTAAGAAATACTAAACCTTTATGTTGCTGTATGTCATTTCAAGGTTTAAGCAGCTTGGATGCCTGTGCAGGTGGAGGCTGAGAACAGAACTCTGTGTGTTAATTGCTTAGTGCCTTAACCAGATCCTGATCTCAAGTTTCCCCCCTGAGGAGGAATGAGTGAGATCACAGTGGGAAGAGTTAGCAGCCTTTGCCAGCCTGTACTAAAGGGAAGGCTGGATTCTGTTCCTTAATATATTCTTTTCCTGTAAAATCTGTTTCAGCTAGAATCTGATCTGGTTCAAGAATTACTGGTAGTATTCTATTTTTAAGCAGGCAGCCAGAAAAATGCTTATGCATTACTGTAGACATCTGTATGTCTTGAAGTTGTTGAATGTGAATATTGCAGTACTCTGGATTAGGCTGGTGTAGTGCTTAATTTGCAGATAGAACGCTTCAGGTGTCTGGCAAAGGTAAAAGATCAGTCTGTCATTCATGTTAGATATCATCTTAGGCTCTTCTTGCCCTGCTGTGACAGGTTTTTTCCCTTTGTCCCAGTCCTTGATCAGGTAAAGACAGACAGATGCTGAAGTTTATGTAGGAGAATTTTTATGGTACCAGTCTGTCTTAAAGTGCTGGACAACATTCCTGCCCTCAGGAATGGGGAGTGCTTAATCCCTTTGAAAACCAGGCTGTGAACTTGCGTATCTAGTTAAGCATTTGTGATTAGAGTTGGTGATGACAGAACTTTATGGCTAGCCTGCAGTAGAGGTAGCCAAACTCCTTGTGCTTTTCTGTTTTGCAAGAGATTTGTAATTGGGAGCCATTAGATGCTCTCTTTGAAGGGTTATCATGAGCAAGTCAGCAGTCCACTACTTACTATTTCAGAAACATTTGGTCTGTTTTGTAAAATCCTCTTTTGAAAAGTTTCATGCTAAGATAACTGTTAACAGTATGGTAATGCATGTCAGTAAAAAACTGGCCACTGCTCTGTTTTCTCATGCTGATTCTGTATTATTGGTTGATACTAGGAGGAAGGTAGCAAGGCAGGTTTGCCTCCCTCACAGCCATGCCAAGGCAGTTTCTCGTGAATAGGCAATGGGGGATGTTTCTCAAGCTTCTAATGGACTGTAACACTTCTGTATTACAGGGCAATGTGTATGTCAAATGTCCTTCAATTGCTGCTGCCATTGCAGCTGTAAATGCATTGCATGGGAGGTGGTTTGCAGGTGAGTGGATTTCATGTAGTGACCTACATTTGGTCATTGATTGCAGAAATGACCAAATACTGATATTTTTTTTTAATCTTCTCATTAGGTAAAATGATTACAGCAGCGTATGTACCTCTTCCAACGTACCATAGCCTTTTCCCAGATTCTATGACTGCAACCCAACTACTGGTTCCTGTTCGACGATGAAGATGGATGTAGTCAGTTTTGTACATAGTTATTTTTTGGAGGAAGATTGAGTTATCTTTTATTTAGATAAAACTAAAGGAAAGGATTTAATGTCATTTTGTGTACACTTCCTGCTACCTTTAAAAATAAAATGAAGTAAGCAGAAATGCAGTGTGTTCATTCTCCCTAACTAGCATTTCCACTGTATACAAAGCTGTTGACTTCTTGTTCTGCCTTGTAATTCTTGTACATTTACTAAGGTGATCTGTAGGAACTGAGAAGTAGCTCATAGAAAACAAATTCTCTGTAAAAGGCAGATGGGACATAATGACATTTTTAATGTTTCACAAGCCTTTCTTTTAATGCAGCAATTACATTTTACATTTCACTAAATGTAGGTGATCTGCTAAAGGTTAATATCAGAGATAGACTTTATGAAGGGACATATTTAGTGTTTTGTATAAATGGAAAATTCAAAAGGCTACTGAAAGCTGACTCTAGACAGCCACTCAGCTTGCTTTGTGCTGAATAATTGGTAAGAATAGGAGGATTGAAGGGTTTTATTTCTTGATGGTAACTTTTGATTAATGTATCTGTAAAAGTTTCTTTGTAAATACTGTGTGAGGTGTGTCTAAGTTTCCAAACAAAACGATCTCTGCATTTCCAGATAAGTTTCTATGTATGCAGTGTGGCACAGTTGAAAGATTTCAGCCGAGTCTGAAAATTGGTAGGAAATACAGAAACGTGTTTTGTTCTGGTTGCATATAATCTTTGCTCTTTTTAAGCTCTGTGAGCTCTGAAATATATTTTTGGGTTACTTCAGTGTGTTTGACAAGACAGCTTGATATTTCTATCAAACAAAGACTTTCATATTGCAACAATCTTTGTAAGAACCACTCAAATAAAATTCTCTTAAAAAGGCCTTCATGAAGCTTTATTTCTCTGTGTGCTCTCCTAATGTGACTTAAGCAGTGTGTGCTGAAGACTAGAGGTGTGTAAGAGATGCTTTGAAGTGGTAGATGTTTGTAATACCATTCCTCCAGGAGAAAATGCAGGGGCTGGTTCCTGCTGTTTTGAACCCTCTGTGTACTGCAGCTGTGGTTAAGGGCCTGTGGGTTTTCTTGCTCCCTGGGCAGTGGAGGGCTCTTGGCTCTTTCTTAGGCCTGTGGCAGATTCATTCCAGAGAGAACTTCCCCCTGCCCACCTCCACCTTTCACAGATGGTTGTGAATTATGGGGATGTAGGAGTAATTGATGCTGGTTTCTGTAGGGAAGCCTGCCCAAGTGGATTGCCCTCTTGGTACCCCTTTCCCACCTCCCTGTCATTTGTCACCACTGGCTAATAAAACCAGTGTGTAACAAAGGTGTGGAGAGTATGTTCCAGCCTGGTGGGTGAACACGGGCTGGCTGGGGATGCTGCTAGTGCTCTGAGACAGAATGTGGTGGTAACCTGGTCTCCAGCCTCTCAAGTGCTGCCATTCAGGGTGTGTGCAGCTGTGGCTGAGCTGCAGGGTGGCAGGAGACTGTTGTTGGCAATTCAGGAGGGAGCCACAGGAGGAAAAATGGGACTGGGCAAGTGGAGGCAGTAAAAAGGCAGATGCAGGGAGGAGCTGGGAATATACTGCAGCAGGATGTCTTAGGACTATGTGACACAGCTGAAGAAAGCCAAGCAAAGCTGCTCTCTAATTTTGCCTGACTTGATTTTTTTAGTTGCTGGTATTAATCTGCCAGTGCCAGCTGGAGTAAAACTTGAGCTGTTCCAGAGCAGCTGTATTGCTCAACTTGGCTGTTGGTGCCGTTTCAGGGGTTAATGAGCTGCATGACAGCAGAGAGCAGGCTTTTAGTAACAGATTTGTGTTTCTCCCTCAAAGTGGGGGAAATGGGACTTGTACTAGGTAAAGGTTGTGTAGGTGCTGGTTCAGGTTTTGCTGCCACTATGTTCCTCTACTTCTGTTTAAGGATAAAAGATAAGCCTTGTTTCAAAAGACAAGTAACAGGAGATCGCAATGCTAAACTAAACTTATCATAGTTAGCTGCTGGCAGTGCCACAGAGCCTGGTGAAGGGCAGGAGTAATCCCTGGTCCTCCCTGGGAAGTGTTGAGCACCTTGTAGACCCATAAAGGCAGACTGCAGGAAAAGACCCTGTTTCTGGTAGTATAGTTCCTACAAGTGAAGCCCCCTTCCCTTGCTAAGGGAATGAAAAAAGCCACTTCAACTTCCTGTTGCTGGAGGCAGCTGCAGCCAGGGCTCTGTCCTTCCCTTCTCTGAGGGGCTGTACAGCAGAGTACCCCTCACCTCAGCAAGGGTGTAAGGCTGCACCCTTCCACGCTGTGAAAGAGGCAGTATAGGCAAGCTGTGCTGTTCTGTGCTGGTCATGCACTAACTTGCAGCACAGCTAGTCCTGAGGGGAGAGCTTTAGGAAAGGCATTGCTAGAGGCCTGACATGGAGGTTCAACATGGAGGTGTTGAAGTCATCCTTGTGACTGATCACAAAATACCTCTAGCTGTCATGTGGCAGGAGTAGTTTTCCATTTTCCAGCAATTTTAATGATTTCTGGCTCTAGCAGCATAGCTGTACCTGTAACTGTGCTGTTCCCTGCCAGCTTCCCATACCCCCATGCTGCCAGGCCAGCTGGAAGAAGGTGCCTGAGCTGCTGTAGTTTGCCCTCAATTTGCAGAAGGACTTGCCTGAGTCCTTCCAGGGTCCCTTGCTCTGTGTGAGGGCATTTCCCCCTATTACATGGAACTCAGAAATGTGGCCAGCTTCAATCCACCTGTTTTGGCAAGAGGAAAGAAATTTGATAGTTGATCTGAATTAGGCACAGAGTAACTCTCCTAGGCTCAGGAATGCATGAATGCAGTGGAGCGGCTCCACAGCAACACATCAGGCATGTGCGCTGCCCAAATACCAAAGTGAGAAATGTGTGCACTGTACTTGTGCCTGTGAAATAGGAACTTTAATGTAGTACAAACGATTATTAATTCTTGTTGTCATGGGAGTAAAAATTGGGAGGAGAGTAGAAATTTGGTAAAAAGCATGTTGACACCCAGCAGAGCAAGGAGGATGGTGCTTCACTGTTTCATGAAGAGCTCTCACTTCCAGGTATCTATAAAGATTTTATTATGGTACAGAGGAGGAATGGCTGGACAGGGGCACTCCGGGATAAAACCCAAGCTCCAGGTTAGCAGCGGATTCCCATACCAATAGCCATGAATGTCCCAAACGTCCCACCACTTTGCATCATCGTTTTGCCAACTCCACCCATCAGCTCTCGTCCTCTCATGCCAATCCTGAGATAAAGAACAACACAGGAATTATGTAAAAGCTGAAGCCTGACAGATAACAGACATGTAGCAGAAAATATCCGATACAGCCAGCTAGTGGTTGCCTGAGCACCCAAATCAAATACCTCCTCTTCAGTATAAATTTAAAATGATGCCTCCTGCCTCTGCAAGGAGACTGGCTGCAGTGCTCCATGCCTGAGCTACTGCAAAGAAAAAAAAAAGTAACTGTTCTCTTTGGGGCATTTGAGTAACCCTCAGTAATGGCCCATGTGTATTTTTTCCTGCAGTGGTACCAGCTGACACTGTACTGTCCTGCCATGCCACTAGCAAAACCAGCTTCACCTGCTAATGCCCCAAATACCCTTAATTTGGGGGGGGGGAAATGTGCTGTCCAAGTATTTGCCTTACCAGAGAATAAGAAGGGTCTGAGCTGTTCTGTTACCATCCCATCTGGCTGCAGTGGCAGTATTTTTAATACCACCAACTTAAAACCTTGTTGTAAACTGACTTCCAATTTACCACTGACACCACGGTGCTCTGTCTAGTGTCAGTGGTAAATGTCTGACTTCATTTATCACTGACACTACCACTTGAAAGGCCTAGAAGTGTCCAGAGGCATTTCTGTTCTCCAGTTCCCATTCACCTGAGGTCAGACCAGAATAAAAAGAATTGTTCCTTCTCAGGAAGCTCTTGTAATATTTGGCTTTTAAGCACTGCAGTGACTGTAGGGTCTAAGGAATTTCATGCACTTGACTTCTAAAACATGGAGATTTTCCCTCAAAAATGGTTCAGCAGAAGTAACATAGTTGTGTCATTCAAGTATGACAGAACCACTGTCACTGCTCCTTGTAAATACCCTAAATCTGTATTTTCTGCTAGCATTGTACCACTTACCCTCCAGGATCTGAGAGAGATCAGAAAGCTTTTTAACTCTATCAGGTTAGACTTTGTGCCTTTTCTTCCTTTTCAGCTCGCTACCAAATCATCGTCCATGTTTAATCGTAGATTAAAAAAACCTCAAGCAGAAAGAGTTCCACAAAATATGAAAGAGCTTATTTCAGTAATTCCTTTTCATGGATGATGTGCAGCAAAACCAGTCAGTGAGCAGCACAAGAGCTAACTTAGAGCACTGTTTGTTTCCATGCTGGCATGCTGGGGGAAGGTGGAATATTGTCCCTCTCCAATTCACAACGGGATGGTGCCAGTGCCAGCCACAGCTCTGCCTACACACTTGCAATTAAGACTCGGGGTCAGTATGGTAATTGCCTCCGTGCAGGGGGATGGGACACCCAAAGCAACCATGATGCAGATAGCTGAGGGCTTGCAGAGTACCTCAGAAAGCTTTAGAGCAAGGAGAGGGCTGCACGTGTATCTGCCTAGACTGCTGCCCCTGGAGCTTATCTTCCACAGCCTCAGCTTCCCAACACAACCTCCCTTAGGAGCAGCAGGAAAAGGTCTGCGAAAAGTACCTCCTCGTACGCAGCTGACCCAGAGGCGATACCCTGCCATCACCAAACTTTCCCATCTGAGGCCAGTGCTGACAGCAGGCTCTCGAACCATGGCTGATTTGGAGCCACTGGCAAAGTTTCACCTACACAGGACCAGACCCACACCTCCCTTCCCAATCCCAGAGCAGGGGCATTCGTCTCTGGCTATCGCTCTATCACAACCTGTCCACGGAAGCCATTTCCTGGGCATACCTGAGGCAGGAAAACGTGCCGAACAGCGCTCCTGCTGCCATGCCGACTGCAAAGCCCATCATGAAACCCATCTTTACTCTGTCAAAGCAGCTGGGCTGCGATTGCCCATATGGGCCCACGGTCACAGGCATCTAGAAAAGAAAGCACAAAACCCCACACAGATTTACTGCTTTGTCTATCACGCTTCTATAACCAAACTAGGCTGGAGAGCAGGCCCACGTGTTTCAGAGCCTCTCCTAAGTGTAGTGTTGGAGGTTTTGCAGGCTTTCAGGCTTGTTTCCTCGCCTGTCAAGTAGGACGGCCCTGTTTCGCCCTCAGCAAGCCCCTGTGAGCGCCGCTAAGTTTCCGAGAGCTGTTTCAGGACCTCACTCTGTGCTCTTCAGCTCCCAGTTAGCAGCGCACGGCGTCGCCTGGCAAAGACTCCGCTGCCGGGCCCATCCTCCCGAGCTGCTGCCGGCCTCGGAGGCAGGGGAGCGGGACAGCAGATCTGCCCTTTAGGAGCCCAAGGCCAAGGCGGGGGCTCACGCCGCAGACCGCCCTAGCGGCTCACCGGGTAGGGGCGGCCTCTGCCTCCCGCCCGGCGCGAGGCCTCGCACCCGGCGTACCAGAGCCCTCAGCGCCCGCTCCACCTCACGGGTGCTCCGGCCGCGACCCACCCCTCCCCCGGCAGGCTCGGCCCTCTGCCGCAGAGCCCCGGGCCCACTCGGGGGGGATGTGGGGGGAGCAGGGCCGGCGCCCCGCCCGTACCTCGCTCCCCCAGGGCCGCGCCACTCCGCGCCCTCCGCCGCTGCCCGCTCCGGTCTCCGCTTCCGGCGCGCGCCATGACGTTGCCGGAAGGGAGGGGCAGCCGCCCAGCCCTGCACCGCGGCCATGCTGGTGTGGCGGCGTCTGGCCGCCCTGCGG